TGCTTTGTTGTAACACTCTTTATAGCATGACAGATCAGATGGTGGTTCCTCCTGCAAAAGGAGATGCAGGTTTCAAACCTGCCAGAAGGCACATTTTCTTTAAGTTTTCCCTAATATACAGGTCAGTAGATGAAATAAATACTATTTAAAATAAATGGAGCATCTACACAAGTACAGGTATCCACTAAAAATAACCTTTCAAAGTAACAAAAATGTCACATTAAAAAATTTGTAAAAGTCAAGACTCCATTACTATCATCATCATCATTATTTAGCAGCACAAGGAAACGGTTCTATAAAGTTCATGGTGTAAATATTTGTTGTTGTATGTTAACTATTCTTTTTACATATCTAAGAGTGATATGATTTTGTTAATTAAAAGCAGAGATGTGTGTGTGGTTTTTATGTCTGCCTAATGGTATATTTGAAAATTTCAGTTTATCATTTACGGTTTTATTTTGTTTGATGTAATGTTGTGTTAGAGAAACCTTACTTTATCAAATCCTTTGATTTCTTTTTTCATTTATTTTGCTGGTTACGACTTTTACAACACCAATTTTACAAAAACCACAATAGAGACTTGAATAAATTCTATACTGTAGCTTTTCACTTGTGGACATGTTTCATCAAAATTTTCTTTTATTTTTCAAATAAAAATATCAATAAAAAGGTAGACCTTGCTGCCATCTTTGGTTTGATAAAAATAAAACAAACAAAAAAATAGTTGCTTTTTTTTGTTTTTCTTCTGTCCCCATTTTTTTTAAATTTTATTTCAATGTGTGTGCATTTCTGTACACAATCTGCATGTGAAATAATTTTCATTTGATTTGTTTCACAATCAATGTAAGCCTTTGTTTTTGTTTCTCTGTAATTTTCTGTGTGTTGAGTTTCATTTGGTTTGAAATCATTCTTCATGTATATCATCTGGCTAATGATGCTAATTATAACATAATTAAAACAACTTGAAATATATTTGATTAATAAAAAAAATGTTATACATTAGTACATTATTTATTCTAACTGATTTGTTTTTTAGATGGAATATTTCACTGGTATAATCTTGTCATTGTAACAAGCATTTGCATCCCATGACGTGTGTCATTACATACATAGACTGTGTGTCATTACATACATAGACTGTGTGTCATTACATACATAGACTGTGTGTCATTACATACATAGACTGTGTGTCATTACATACATAGACTGTGTGTCATTACATACATAGACTGTGTGTTTTATTTTTTTAATCAAAAACAGCCATAATTTTATTTGGAGAATTCTGATTTAGAAATGATTTTGAAATAACTTTTATTTAATTCTGAAATCAGAAAATGGAATTAATTACAAAATTTAGAATTAAATCTGTTATTTGTGAAATCAACAAACTTTAATTCAAATATTTTTTTCTGTTACTTGATATTTTTAAATATTTCAGTGTTACATATTTTGGTGATTGACACTTGTAGCAAAATAATTTAATGCATAAAGTAGCAGTTATGAACCCTTGATGATTTTTCCATATTGAAATTCTTTGTATTTTATTCTTTGATTTTCATATTTCATTTCTTGTTTTCTCTGAAACTAAAACAGACAAAGAATATAAAGGAAGACAAAAATAATTTTTAACATTTGTGAGAAGCATTCAAAGAATTTTATAAATTTTACTAATAAAATTTCTTGCATTCATCTGTTCATTTGTCTAATAAAACAATCCTCTTTTTATTCAATGTACAGAGTCAGGCTGCAAAACTAGCAAGTTTTGAAATTATGCATAGATTACTATTATGAAGAGCCCATTAGAGTCATAGGAACACCACATGTACTGCAGTCGTAGTAGGAGTTTAGAGCTAGGTAGCCTGACTGAGCCCAGCCCTCTCTAGGCTAGGTGTATAAATAGTTTGATTAATATAAAAAAAATCTTAATAAAACATAGATAATATCAAAAACAATTTATTAATTGTGGCTTCAATTATTTTCATTGACCCCAACAACATGATCTAGAAAAACTGCACACTACTTAATCCAGAAAATTCTTGAACATCTTGACCCACTTGAGGATACTGATGTTGGGGTGGTAGTTTTTTTTTTTTTGTTTTTTGCTGGCATTCTCCAACCTTCCCTGTATGACTAGTCTAGTAGGTTCAGACTGGAAGAGGGTCAGGCATTGGCTGGCCAGAAATCAGCAAAGTTAGCTTAGCAAAACTTCTGCAGATTCTTGGTTATATGACTGGGAACGCCACCCTAGTTCCACATGTAGTTGCCTTTGGGCAGTTAGCTTTGAGTTATGGTACAGATGTAACATCAGAACATTATAATAGGCATCAACAACCACCTTTTCTCAAGTTTGTACAAAAATGGGGCCATTTTTCCCCTCAGAGACCATGACACCTAAGACTATAAGATGGGTTTGATGGTTAGTCCCACCAAGAGTGCCTTGACATTAAGTGTTGACTCTTTGGGGTACTAGTCATTTCAGTGGTTCAAAACAACATCCATTATAAAGATTTCTTTGTCAGAGAATATCTTGAGAGTACTTTCTTATACCTTTCAAGCCTCCTATCCCTCATGAATTCTGTGAGGTGTTCATGTCTCCTAGTGTATGATTTAAGATCCAGATTGTCATGCACAGTCATTCTAATGACCTTGACATCTACCTTTAGCTCAGTAGCCATCTTTTGCATGGTTGTTGTTGTTGTTGGGTCCAATGCAGTTTAACTTGTTGTTGTCCATCTTCCTGTTGATGTCATTTCCATGTCTATGATCTTTTGTCACTGTAGACAATGTGTCCTTTGTCAAAGCAAGTCTGGCATTCTTTGCCATTTTTTCTTCTGTTAAGCCATTTCCCACAATGTTTCTCAAAAATACATGTGTATTAATAGCTGTCAGTATATTATGTATTCTGCATTTATTTTTGCATCGTTTGGTGTGGTGATTGGTGGGAAAATTTAGTCCAAATTTTAACAAGTTTTGCTATCTTTTCCCGTAAATCAAAAATGCATTTAATCTTTTTAAAAAAAAAAAAAATTTCATTCCAACTTTATAAAAAAACAAAATGGATTGATTAGTGTTGAATTGTAAATATTTTATAAGCATTTCTGCCTCATGTATACATTTTGAATTGATCTCCATTTTAAAAAAAAAAAAAAAAAAAGAGAGAGAGAGACTGATGATATCCAAGGTTTCTTCATCCAACTAACATTTATACTTAACTGTCTCTCTCTCATATATATATATATATATATATATGACATGCTTTTCTTTTCAGATGTTTTACTTTCCAATACTCTTACCAAACAAAGAGGTACTTTAATCCTTTGCAGCCTCATATGAATAGAAATTTACAACTGACAAAGCTAAAAAAACTGATAAACCCTGTCATATTTTCATTTGTAATAATACTTGCATTTTTAACTTATTCTGATATTGAAAAGCTGAAAATGATTTCTTTGAAGAGTTTCTTGTCCAAGAATGTTTTGGGTATTTAGCATCTCTATTTTCACACGAGAGAACAATTCAGTTGGGTTGGCTAATCTTTCCAATATATCACTCTTGAAATTGAATTTATATGGAATTATCAATTATTTGTCTTTTTATATGCAATGAATTCATTTTAAAACTGCATAACTTTTAAAAACCTATTGATTTTTAATTTTTGTTATTCTGTGCTTTAAAAGGTTCATTTGATCAGATTGGGATTTCTTAATTACGTTTTTATGTTAGATAAAATTTTATAGCATCTAGATAATTTCATTTTAGTGAAATATTGATTTTGTTTCTTCTGAATACATTCGACATCCAAATGAAACAATATAAATTTTATTCACCATTGACAGATCTTTGATGTGTTAAACAATATATTATTTTGCTTTTTACATTCAAATTAGAGTATAAGATATTTGTCTTGAAGAAATGAGTTTATGGCTAAAAAAAATTTGCAAACTGGTTAGTTTTCTTTATATAAGAATGAAAATTGATCAGTTTCAATATGAAAACTTTTTTATGCTTTACATAGAAACCTTTTGTTACCTTCTTCAACCTATAATGGCTTAGAAGGAAGCAAATATTGGATAAATGACTGCAAGAGTTTCATACACAAAATTCACTTTTGTTCTTGCATCACTGAATCTGACAATAACAACTACACAAAGTTCATTGCTGCTGCTTTTAGTATTTCCAATACTTGTGGCCTTGAGCCATACTAAGCGTATTAGTGTCAATAAGTAGAGATAGTATCCCATTTCAATTAAGGTAACTGACTATGGTTTTGATAACACTTATCAATATGTGTATTTTAATACCTATAGAAATGTTTTCAAATTTCTGCTTATACTAAAATATATATAGGTTATTAGTATCCTGTTTCTCATTTCAGGTACCCACATTTCTAAAATTGTTATATTTTGAAAAATAATTCTATTTTCATAATAAATAACTGTAAATATTACTCAAATTAAATTTTTTAATTTTTCCTGAAGCAAATGGATAACTACTTTCTGTAGCTTACTTCATGCCCACATGTAAGCAGTCGTATCAATTAATGTTGTATTTTCTTATAAGTTTATCAGTTGAATAGCTAGCCACAGATTTTTGAAGTAAGAATAAAGAAATGTTGCATCATTTGAAAAAGGATACAATAGTGTTTGCCTTCATATTTCATTAATGGAACTAAACAATTAGTTAAAATTTTAAACATTTAATATTATTTGTGTGCTGTATTAAAATATTACCAGTTTAAACCTGTAATACGAATTGTTATTTTAGAAACAAATTTATTTTTAAAAAGTTTAGTGTACATTCATTGATAATGGATCACTCTGTAACATTGTATACATTGCATTATTAAAACTAGAAATTATATTCTGGCAACAGAAATGCATATCACTTCTCTTTTAAATCCTAATTGACATCTCAAGTTTTATTTGATATTTTACTTGCTCGGTTTTTCTCAAATTTTATATAGTGTTTCAATTTTTTTTTTCTTCACCCCCCCATTTTAGACGCAATGATCCGCCACTCTGTGTTATAACTCAGGATTCTATGACTGTGGAAGAAATAGGTAAGACAACATTATACTTTTCTTTGAGGATCATAAGAGGCACTTAGCTTCATGCATTAAAATTAATTTTTTATTCCATGTACACTGATATATTTTACATGCTTTTAAAAATAATTCATTTTGGGATTGCAGAAAAGAGCATTGTTTTAGTTTTTGTTGTAACAGCAGTAGAATAAAATTATTTCCCTTTTGTTAGCTCAATACCATTTTTTTATTATGATGATGATGACGATTATCCACCAGAAAGTATTGACTTCAGCTGTGAAATAATAATAGTCTGTTTTTCTTTCTTCATGTTTTTTATATCTACAAAGATAAAAGAAACTAATTTCTTTTTGCTGTAACATTAATCTGACAAAACAGTTTTTTTGCTCAATTTTTTTCACTTGTTAGCACAAAAAGAAATTATCCTTAAATTTTTTTTAATCATTTCACCCCCAAGCAAGGCAATAATCCCACTAAAACACAAATGGTTACTGAGAGTGAAAAAGAATGATAGTTCTTTAGGAAAAAGAACTTTAAACCCAATGCTACACAGGAAACAAGGGATAGACCTCTATTCCTGTTCAAAAGTCTAAGGAGTGTGAACCAGATGATAGGCAAACCTATCTACTCTTATTAAATGTATTATGCATATAGTCAGAATAGTGTGTGTGTGAGTGAGAGAATTAGTATTGTCAACTACTTATCACTTGTGTCATTCATTAAAGGAATGAAAATCTGATGGCAAAAAGAAAAGTCAATATAAGAAATATTTTCTATCTAAATTTCTCGGATGAGGAATTATTTGCATTATCTATATTTGGACTATTGTCCTCATCTTTGTTGTTGTTATCGTAACATTTCGGTTGTTGTACCCTCCAGCCTTCATCAGGTCTATGTCAATTCAGGTAACTTACAGGTAATTCTGAACCGAACCCTTTATTTAATCTACAGGGTTAGATTGTTCTCATGTCTAGGTATATCTAGTTTAGTTTTTATTTTTAGTACTCTTCAGTTATTGATCACCTTGTTTCTACCAAGTCCAAGTACACACTGCCCGGACCAAGGATTGAACTCACAATTAATATATCGCCAAATTCACAAACCAACAATGCTTTAATCCATTACAGTTGTTATACACCTGAGGAAAGCTGGAGGGCACAATGGTTGAAATGTTGTGATAACAACAAAGAAAAGGACAATAGTCTAAATATAAATAAATTAAATCAGAAATTATCTGTAGAAAAAAAGAAAATGGTTGGTCAGATCTTTATAAATATAAAATGTTGTATATTACACCCATACAACATTGTCATTTCTTTTTTATTACATTTACCCACTATATAGTGCTAATAGTAGTTTATAAAAAGCCTTTCAGAACCGAGAGAAGCCAACTATAAAGTGGTTATAGTCTCTTTAAAATTTAGCCACTTATCTGTGCCATCTCTTATAAATAAAAATCTTTTTTTACCATTTATTAATTCTTGTAAGCAAATGATCAATATATTTATCAAATGCTTGATTTGACTTTAAATTTGAAATTCAACTGGCTGTCATTCTTTAAGCTTTCATATATTTTAACCAAAATTTCTTTTCTTGGTTGAACTTTTGTAGCTCTTAACAAATCATTACTAACGACATTTGCAACAAATTTCTTTTATTTCAAAATGTTTTGCTTGAATTTGTTTTTCCTCTTCTGTTTACCTAAGTAATCTTCTTTATAAAAATATGTTGGTCAGAATGTTTTTAAGTTCTGTCTTATATAATCATTTTTTTTTTTTTTTTTCAGAATGTATCCTCCGAGAAACAGAGCACAATGGCTTCCCTGTAGTTGTGTCAAGGGAGTCACAATATTTGGTTGGATTTGTGTTGCGCAGAGATTTGAATATTGCTATAAGTGAGTAATATTGGTTGTTTTTGATTTACTTTCTTTTTGTATCCTGAAAAAAAAAGTATAAATAAACATATATGTCAGATTTGTAGGAATTTAAAAAAAAAACTTGTAAGAAAGACAAACTTGGATATCAAAAATGTTTGCTTTGATTCATCAGACTAATATTTTCATTTTTATTATGAAAAATAAACAGAAGATTTAGTCATTTTCTCTCTCTCTCTCTTTTTCTTATATAAAGTAACATAGGAATCCATTTATTTAACAAGATAAAGCTAGCACCCTGTTTGGTCAAAAATCCATTCCTTTGGGTATGAGGCTGGAGTGACCTCTCCAGGGTTCATGCATGGGTAATGCCATATGAATGCCATGCACAGTCCAGACTTCGGGTTAGTTGTATAAAAAAAAAATACTAATACAGAAAAACCAGTAACTGTAGAAAAAGTTGAGAAAAATATTAATAAACAATACATATATAACTTTAAATAAATATAATAATCATAATATGTATAATAAATGAAATAAAAGTAATAATAATTGCAAATTGAATTATATTACTTTTAAACAATATTTATGTTTTTTTCAGTTAAACTTAAAATCCATTCATTTTTTGGAGCTTTGAAAAAATGCGTCCTTTCTCCATGAGTTCAGAACACCATTCTTCTAATATATATGATGAAAATATTCCTGAAGATGTTATTTTGAAATGTAGTTGAAGTAATCTGTTAAGACCATAGTTAATTTATCATAAAAATTGTTTGATTTCTACTGTTCTAATCCTATTTAAATTTTAAGAAACCAGAATAGACAGACCAGAAGGGTTGTGGTGAACAGCCCTGTAGAAGTGAGGCAGCCAGAGTGGCTTGCATCTGGTGCATAGGAAAATAAGGATCTTACCTTAACGTGTGGCATGTGACATCGGCAAGTTTGCTCCACGAAAATGGCATTATTCTCCCATCTAGCAATTCTATCAGTATGTGCGGTAATGAGGGTTTTTTGTACAGTTTGGCTTGCTGCCACCAATAGCAAGTCATGTGCTGATTGGTCGAACTGGAGGAGGCTATTTGCCTGGGTAACTGAGAATAAAAGCAAAGAATCTGATTGGTTGGTCGACTACAGTGTTGGCCTGATAAAAGAGGTACTGAAGCAGTGAAAACAGCAGAAGAAAACTCGGATTTACGTTGTGAAGTGTGCAGAAAGCAAGAACAGTGAATTGAATCAGCAGTATCTGGATTTATACAAGTGACATCGTCGTAGCAATAGAGGCTCATTTAAACTACAAGGGTTTACATACAAAATATATCTCATATTATTATGAAACACTTTTAAAGAATAAAAAACATGTCAACATGGTAGATCCTTTCTTTGTACTAGATTTATAAATTCCGTGATGATGGTAAATTAAACATAGTCAGGATCGTTATCAATATGAACTGCATGGTATGTGCTTTGCCATGGCTCATACAGTTTTGAATTCAGAGTTGTCCTTCGCCTATTCTGGTTGCTAATCAAGGCTAGAGAACCTAAACTACCTTATTATTTACCCATAGTTGGAGGTTTTGAATTCAGAGTTGTATTTCTCCTAAACTATTTGCCCTCCATGGCTATAAGACCCATTCTAGCCTGCTATTTAACCATAGCTGGTGAGTAGAAGAGATGGATTCATGCCTTTCCCAAAGGTATTTGCTCATAAGTGAATGTAATGAACTTGACTGGAATTTGAATTTGGTTCTCTGATTTCTCAATCTGAGCCACTATCCATTACGCCACCATGTGTCCTAAATTCATAACGTCTCCTGTAGGTTAGAAATAAACTGTTTTCTCTCTCTATTTGCTATGTCCCTTCAGAATATGAGTAGTCATGACTACTCACAGCTTCCTGTCTTTTTTTTTTTTTTTATTGTTCTCACCAATACTTACTCGTTTATGACCCATCATCAGTATACTTGTTCCTCCATCTATAAACATAAGTTGGTTACTATGGCAATGAAGGAGAAAACCATGTCTTACCTTGGAAAATAATTTGTGTTCTCTGCACTGTCAAAAAAGAAAATCAGAATCAAGATCGAGTAGACTTTAGTAGGCCTTGAAATTTGGTAATTGTTTGTGTTTCCCTACCAGTCTTGACCAGACCCAACCTTTCTTAATAATGCTACTTTGGACAACAAGATTACTTAGATTTTTGTAATTGAAAAAGGTAGTTGTTCATTGCGAGTTGTGGGGGTGGATTTTTTTTACCCTTTAGATTTATGCCCCACCAGCATTTTGTGATGTTGGATTTGCATGACTGATTTTTTGACCCTTGGGATTACAATATCGAATTATGATTCTTTTTTTATTTGAACCTGTTTACTTCTGCTGCTCATGTCTTTGTTGTTTGAATTAAATTCTCCAAACCTTCTTTCCTCACCAAGTGTTCTCAAAATTTTGTTTCTGTTTTTTTTTTCTGGTTGTTAGCAATAGTTTCTTTCTTGTTTTCATTCTCTTTAAATCTTCCTTGTTTATCACATGCTTTGTCCATAAAATACAGAAATAATTAACTGAATCATGTTGCAAGTAAAAACAATATGCTGGCAGCTGATTTTTCAATACTTTTACTCTAAAAAGTAACAAAACTGTCTTGACCCAGGCAGGCACAGATATTATTATTGATCACTCTTTTGACTTTTTTTTTTCCTTTTTTTTGCTTAACTTGAAGCAATGAATTTTGAATCATTTGTGGTATTAAGTATTTTCTTTTTAATGTTTTTCTACTAATGTTCACCCAATAAAATCAGTTCACCCCCAAGCAAGGCAACAATGCCACCAAGATGCAAGAGGCCACCGGGGGTAAAAGCAAATGAAAAGAAACCCAATCCTATATAGGAAATAAAGTATAGACCTCTGCTTCTGTTCAAAAGACCAGAGAGGAGTGTAAACTAGACTATAGGAATTGATGCACCAGAAGGTTGAACTGATACAAATAAATTGTTTGTTCAGCATTGGTTAATGTTATGAAAAGGCATCATCATCATCATCATAACTGTTTTGACTTATAAACACAGCAAATCAATGTGATTTCTTTTCTTAAGCTTGTCTGCTCTTTTCCAAGCATGCTTCCACACCTACAGAACCATCCTGTAATTTTTACTGTAGCTATGCTATGAAAAGGCAGAGAAGCCTTTATTGAAATTCTTTATTGACTCTTAAAAACACTGAATATATTTAAGTAATAATACAAATGGTGGATCAAATGTATTTTTTTTAATTAGCATGAACAGAAACAAAATCCTTGTTGTACAATTCTATTTTTTCTAACACCTTGCTTCAAAGAATATCAGCAACATATACCTTGCATTTAATATCTCTGAAGGCATGAAATGTCATGACCTTTACTTCATATGGAAAGGAGCTGTTGAGACAATTAAACTATAAGAACCATTCAGAACTTGATTGCTTAAACAGACCTTGTTAAACAAAACATTTAGAAAGAATTTATATCCAAAACAAACTTTGTTTGTCAATGCTTTAACTAAGCCTAAACAAGGATTAAATGGTTTTAATCATTTTAAAAGTTGTACATTTTGGGAAGGTACAGAAGCTATTAAGAAAAAAAAAACTAATTCAAGTTATAAAAACAAATAAAAATTACAAAAAGAATCTTTACAGATTAAAACTTACAAGAATAAAACTATTTAAAAATGTTATACTGTTTGAGTGTTGCAAATTAAACTAATGCACAGATGCATTGATTATGGATGTCATGTCAAATAAAAACTAGGATGAATACAAAGTGAGACATTTGCAAGATTCAAGTCATGAAGACTTCAAGAAAAATATTCTTTGTTTAGGTTTTGGTATTTGAAGAATGTATTTGATGACACTTTTTTCTTTTTCTTTTTATAACACTCTAGCTAATGCCCGCAAAATTCAAGATGGAATTGTTAGCAATTCTCTTGTTTATTTCACATCCCATACTCCCCCACCTAGCCAGGGAGTCATGGCACCAGCCCCACTGAAATTAAGAAGAATCTTAGACATGGTATGTATTAATCTAATTCATGCTTAAAACAAGTAATGACTACTTTTTGCAACATTAAAAGGCTCATTTTATATTATTATCATTGGTTTTTCATTTTTTCGTTTGATTTTTTTTTTTCATTTCATTATTTTCATTTTTTTATTTCATTTTTTTTATTTCGCTTTTTTTTTTCACTTCACTTTTTTTTTTTCACACTCTTACATTGCTTAAGTTTATTTATCACTCCCACTTGTTACATATTTAAAAATACCTTAATGTCTTTCTTATAAGAATTTCATTCCCTGGTTTTTTTATATATATATTATGGTACATACTTAAAAAGATAAGGTCATCCTGGGTATGACGTTAAACTGCATCCAACAGCAAGGCCTCTGATCAGGAGGTTTTGAGGAGCGTGGAACCACCTCTTAATTGCTGGTGTTCCCAGATCCACCCTGACCCGGGGTGGTAGCACCTGTTAGGGTCCCAGCTATGGGAAAATAGTGAACTTCCAGTCTAGCCCACGTCCTGGGTATGACGATAAACTGCATCCACATCCTGGGTGTGGCGATGAACTGCGTCCAACAGAAAGGTTGTTTTTGAAAAAATAAGGTTGTCAGCTATATGTTTTTGAGAAAAAAATATTACCACCTATACATTTTTGAGGAAAAAATATAAACAGAAATGGATTTTTGACAAAGCAAATATATTACCAGGAAAAAAAAGTTATCGGCATTAAATGACCCATAAAAGTTGATATGCCATAAAACAAAACAAACCAAAAGATAAGGTGAGAAGAAATTAAAATATTGTGATCACTAAATTGAACAACCAAACATTAAATCGTTAAATTTTTAAACTGTATCTCCAAATAAGGTTGTAGATAAAACCCTATCTTATAACTGGTTTCTTTTGGTAATTTTTTGTCAAGAGTCTTTGATGTAATAATTAATTTCTATATCTTGTATTATTATTTTATTTTTTTTTTTTATCCTCCTATTCGACACATTCAGGCCCCAATCACGATCACTGATCAAACCCCCATGGAAACAGTAGTGGAGATGTTCCGTAAATTAGGACTCAGACAGACACTTGTTACTCATAATGGGTAAGTAAACAAAAAAAATTAACAGAAAATTTCTTTCTTATTTTGATTTGTACATTTTTATTGCCATTAAATTAACCTACCTCATTGCAGTACATCTTAGTCTCATTTCATTTTATTTGTTATTCTCATTTCATTTTTACTATGCTTTCTGTAATATAACTATAAGAAAAAACTATAATATAACACTGTACAATATCAAATGGTTATAGTAATGGAGGTGGGAAGAGTCTGCCTGCCTTGAAAATCAGCATTTGAAATCTTGTCTCAAATATTAACCACCACATAGATACCCTATATAAAATTAACACGCCTCTTCAAATATTTACACTGTTTACATTGTTCAGACTGTTATCCTCATCTTTATTGTCATATTCATGACATTTAGGCCATTTGTACGCTCCAGCCTTTTTCAGGTGATATATGTTGTAATTCCAAACTGAACTGGGGCATATTGTTCTAGTTCCACCTGCCATGCCGTTTCTGGATATCTCGGTTTCAGTTAATTCCCTTTAGTAACTCAACTTTCCACGTTTTTGTTCACCTCTGCTGTGGCCAAGTATTGAACTCACAACTCTTTGGGTCAGTTCACTGGATTACTTCAACCAACTAGTGAATATGACAATAAAGATGAGGATAACAGTCTGAACAATGTAAATATTGTAAATAGTTACATGCTTCATTTCAGAAATATAGACAGATCTCTTCAAATGCTTGTATTTTTTTTATATAAGTAAATTCTATCTATGATAATGAATATCTGTAGGTATGAAGTAAATTAACTCTGTTTAAAAAATAAATCTGAAATATTCATAGAATTAAATGTCTTTGCTTTTCAGCTAATTAAGGTTAGTGTACAGTCTAAAATTTACTTTTGGGCATTTTTATTCATTCCAAAAGCCCTATTAAAATTTTGAAGATAATTTGCCGACATAATGTTATTTTCATTGCTTTGATCAGATATGATTGCCACCCCCCACTCTAGTCCTGGGTATGATGATAAACTACATCCAGAAGCAAGGTTTCTGATCAAAAGATCTCTGGGCAAAAGATTGGGGGTTTTTGTGGAACTACCTCTTAATTGCAGTTGTTCCAGGTCCACCCTGACTCGGGGTGGTAGTACTTGTTAGGGCCCCAGTTATGGGCAAACAGTAGCCCCCGCCTAACAAAACACTATGAAAGTATAAAAATACATTTTTATAGTAACAATACCAGCAATACATTGTTATATAAAAAGTTTACCAATACATATTTATAGTAAAATTACCAACAATACGCACATACTAACAAATTGTAGCAGCCTCATCTAAATCCATTTAAAATATTACCAAACAACCAACATGAAAAAACACTTTCATGACATTAAGCCATATAATATCTGACAATTTCTTAAACTCTATTCCAAAATATAACTTCAACAAAACTGCAGCATAAAACACATATCATCGCCTTTAATAATTATGTACACACAAACATCTATATGCACAAAAGCTGTGTATCATCTACCATGTATTCAATTGTGAAAGCAGAATAACATTTTTATTACTTCCAAGCTCCCAAGAAAATTAAATAGCCCATAAGGATGAATCAAATCATTACACCCCCCCCCTTTCACACACATGTCATAGGGCAGATGTGTATAAAAGCAAAATTTTTCAATGTATAAATTTTTATGCATGGAAAAGAAATATAGCACAGAAAGTCTCTTATAACAATCAAAATGTAATGAAAGTCCCAAGTGCAACTTGTAAATAAAAAATTGTCAAAGAATAAAGAAATTAATGTTTTACATGACCCAAATAGATGTTAATATGCTGATCATAGATTTTCAACAGCAGCAACAACTAAAATGGATCTCATGTCACTCAAAAAGAAAATAATGACATAATCAAGATGTTGACATTCCACACTACTTCAAATAAAAAGTTAGGAAGGAAACTCCCATAAGTACTGTCAAGAGCGATAACAGCTACTGGACTTGAGAAACCTATTTTCCTGAAGAATTGTTTTAAGAGAAAGATTTTCTAAATTTCAACCAAAAGTAGCACTGTCTGCTTGATCAATGAATATTGAATGTTTCCTTATAAGGAAACAGCTAATGTTTCAATTACCGTAGTTCATGTTTGTGTTTCATTAAAGATCTTTATTTGTTTAATGTACTTCTTTCAAAAAAGCAAATAGCATGTAATCATTTTTCTTTTCATTTAACACATTTGTATTGTTTGTTATTGCTTAGGAGACTCCTGGGCATCATCACCAAGAAGGATGTCCTCAGGCATATTGCACAGTTGGAGAATCAAGATCCAGAATCAATTTTGTTCAATTAAAACTGTTCATCATTGTGGAAAACTTGAAGAGTTCATCGGGCAACAGTCTGCTAACGGAGTGTGGCAAGTCTCAGATTCAATGTTCTACCGCCGTTCCAATTGCAAAACTGCCAGACACCCAGTAAAAGAAGTGACATCTGGCAATCACCAATGCCAACACCACCACCACCACCACCACCCCACCACCCCACCAGCCCATCTGTCCATCTTGTCTCTGTCTGTCTCTCTTGATTCTGGTTTGTTGTTGGCTAGAATTTTGATTTCATTCCTGTCAACTACTTGGCCAGGTTACCAAGTAGTTTTGCCCCCACTGTTATCTTCTACCTGAGATAATTGCCTATGAGTCAGTTTTGCTAAATTCTGTCACTATGTTGTAAATACATTTCAGGGGGCCTTGTACAATGGAGTATGTTTGCTTATAAAAAATTAAGGGAGGTGACTTCAATAAACAGGAAATACAGATTGTGATTATCAATGAAGAACATTTGTTTTGTATCTTATCTCTTTTTTTTTCCACTTCCTTTTAATTCTATAATCTCTTGAATTCTGGGAATTTTTTTTTCCATTTGGACAAAATTACATAAAGAGGAAATAGTTGTTTATATTCCATCTGGCAAATGTACAAAGGACTTATAAAAAAAATTATTTAAATTATTTTTTGGTTGGGTGGAGATTTGAAACCATGTGAGTTTATTAAAAAATTTTAAAGGCTTTGTTAGAATAGTTCATGATTTGAGTTAGAATTTTACTCAAAAGGACAAGAGACATAGATGGACACAAATATTTAGACACACACACCCAGAAAGGAGGACATGTCAAAAGAGAAAAACAAATGCATGTACAAACAGAAATTTAAAACTCATATTTTACACTGATTGATATATATATATATATATATATATACATATACAAATATATACAAAGAAGTCATTTAGAGTTCTTGAATGGAAAGATCTGTTCAAAAATACACAAAATTTATATCCCTGAAAGTTTTAATTCTAAATTATTGCTAATTTATCAATGATCAATTCGGACAGTTTATTCTACTTAAATAAGCATTAATTTGATTGAAAGGGAAAAGAATGAGAATGTAAAACAAATGTACATAAAATTCAATTCTAAAATCACAATTACTTAATATTTTATTCATTCATGGATATCAATTTTTTTTTTTTTTATTATTATTATTCAGAATTAATTTCTCAGAAATAATAATGTCTATCAGCTATCATTTAAATATTTATATATTTTAAAATTGCAAAAAAAAAAATTCTCTCTTAGAAGTTTTGTTGATTATTGGTCACCATTTCGACTGGTGACGAATCCCTAATTATAGTCGCTTCTCTATAATGCAGAGATGGAGAATTTTATTAACCAATTTTGTTTATTCTGAAGTTCTACGGTCAAGTGTTGTTGTTGTTATCTGATGAATTATTCAGACACTTATCTTTTAGTCAATATTTCAGCTAGTGAGCTCTCCAGACTTCCTCAGGTCGATGTTGTATCTGGTTATACTTTTTCTCTCTTTTTACCCCCACAATCTTTTACAAGCTGAGCAATAAATGTTTGTGTTATATATTAAAATAAGTAAAAAAAAATTTACTTTGCTCATCAAGTCCTCAAAAATGAGGCCACGAGGGTTGGAAAGAAAGAAAAAATTGAGGAGGCATGCACCTGAGGAAAGTCAACTGGCAAAAAAGTAGCCATTAAAACATCTTATTTTTTTTATATCATGCTAGGTACCACATACATAAAGACTTATGTCTTATTAATATTTTGTTTGTGACCATCACATTTGTATTTTAAATAGGAAATAAACACAGTAAACCTTTCATTTCCATACCAGCCAAGATCAAGACAAAAATTAATTGGACTGAGATGCAAAATTGAAATATTTATGAATAGTTGTTTGTTTACAAACAATTTTTTTTCTTTCTCTTTTTCCACTGCGGCTTAGTTTGTTTTCCTCTGCTCATTTCAGAAATATTCTGTATTTATCCAAATCTGCAATTCAGTTTTGATCTTGATTTCCACATAAATTATCCAATTAAAAGTAATTTTCAATTCTACTGATATCTTTCTCAAGAATCGTCTGGCTGAAATATGCACCTATACATGCTCAATAAATACTAATAACCAAATTTATCACGGCAATCAGATGACTTTTGTCTTCACTGTGTGATAGCCTCTCTTTCTCTTGACATCTACTTGTTGAATTTTTTTTTTTTTTTTTTAGGTTAGCCATAACAAGATTACTTCTGGGCAAACATAAGACTTTGTCTTACTCCACCCAACTTTATCATCTGACCCCATCAAGCTGCAGATTTTTTTCTTTTTCATCTTGTCTGCTGTGGTAATGTTCTGGTCTATCCCTGCATGTACTATAGACTGCCTTTTAACGTTGTTGTTGTTGTTGTTGTTTCTTCTGCCACTGAAAAGAATTAAGTCCTACCTTTGGAGATTGCGTCAGCGGCAGCTGATCAGACCGAGTTTCTTTTTAATGAATCAATTTTGATAATTTAAATTCTTATTCCAAAAGTTGTTTTATTTTTGTTGCTCCATCTTTTTTATTTATTTGGTTAATAGAACAAAAGTTTGTTTTTTTTTTCTGATTCAACAAAGGAAACACTTATTTTTGTAGCAGTAAAGGTTTTTTGTTTCTTTTTCACTCTTTGTTTCTGTTTCTTTATTCTTTTTTTTTAAATTTTCTGTCACTCTTCCCCACTTATTTTGCGTTTTCTTTTTCTTCTAACTTTTTTACTGTTTTGCAGATGAGAATCATCCCCACCTTTTCCAATATAAGCTACCATCCACTTCATTTATACTGAAATACATACAAAGTTTCATTCCCTTCTTTTACAACTGCAATGAAGATCATATCTTTTTGGCAACTCTCTCTCCCCCTCTCTATCTTCTGAACTCTCTCCCAAACTCTCTCTCTTTCTCTCTCTCCCAAACTCTCTTCAGAACTGTCTCTCCCAAACTCTCTTCAGAACTGTCTCTCCCAAACTCTCTTCAGAACTGTCTCTCCCAAACTCTCTTCAGAACTGTCTCTCCCAAACTCTCTTCAGAACTGTCTCTCCCAAACTCTCTTCAGAACTGTCTCTCCCAAACTCTCTTCAGAACTGTCTCTCCCAAACTCTCTCTCCGGAGCTCCCAAACTCTCTCTCTCTCTCTCTCTCTTTGGAACTCTCTCTCAAACTCTCTCTCTCTCTCTCAAACTCTCCCCCCCCTCTCTCTCTCTCTCTGGAATTCTGGAACTCTCCCTCTCTCTTTGGAACTCTCCCTCTCTCTACTTATTTATGCCAAAATCTGTTTATGATGTAATTTATATATATATATTTATATATTCTTTGATTCTATCTGAAAATGAAGTCTTTTATTCATTTTGTTGTTTTCTTAATTTGACATGGGTGTTGGGATATGGATTGCCAATAATAATAATTTTATTTACCAGCCAGACTGGGGTATTTGTGCCATACAAACCAGTGCCTATGAGATACCCCTGAGAATTGGCAAACATCAAGAATTCATATATATATATATATATATATATATATATATATATATATATATAAGAGAGAGAGATTTTACTATCATGTGATAACTAATGCTATTAACAACTATAATAAAGATTCACTATATTTGTTTAATGAAGAAAAACAAAAAAAAATAAATGAGCTAGAATGTGTTTGTTCTTAAAGATTATCATAAAGATTGAATTTGGTTGTTCTTGAAACAACAGATTGAATCTATTTATTTCTAAAGACAATAATATAACAAAGATTGGATTTGTTTGTTCTTGATATTTATATGACAAATTGGATTTGCTTGTTATTAATGGCATTACACATTTCTAAACACAAAGAACAAACCTTTCTGCTCTGTTATTGAACAATGAAAACGACTTAATAAAGTTGGAGGAAGGTCTAAGATGGTCTTGGAGGTTTTTTTAAACTCCACAATGCTTCTTTTTTTTTTTTTCTATTTTAAATGTTTGGCTTAATTTCTGGCTTTCTTAGTCTGGCTTTACTATTTTGATTCTCTTCTTGTGTGCATGTACATTTGTGCCTCTGGTCGCAAGCCAGCGTGAATGGAAGTACATGTAACTTGTCATTTACAAATTCCACAAAGTGAGATCAGGAGTCGAAAAAAAAAAAAAAACTATCTACATCATATACATGCCAGGAATTTATTTAAAAATGGACACAATCTTCTATTAAGAGAAAAAATATCTTCAGAACTTTTTTTTTCCATATAAACAAAATGTTTTAAGAATTTGCACCTGCCTTCTTCTGAAGTGAGTTGGCTTGTTATCACATCATCTTTCTCTTAATGTTTTCTTTTGTACATACCTATAACTGCCTATATATATATATATATATATATATATATATATATATATATATATTATTTTGTGGAGGTGGTGTTGGTCATCTGGGGATTTTCATATTCATGGCAGTGTAGACATTCCTTCCATGTCCTGCTTTAAGAAAAAAAATGTTTTAAATGATGCTATAGTTCTTGTGGGCTGAAGAAAGCAGTGATCCAGTCCTGTCAAAACGTTGTCAAGTTTATATGGACTTGATGAAGGAACTAGCTTTTGAAATAAAGGAAAATGAAACCAGGTGTTTTATGTCAAAAAGATTTTTCTACTTAAAAACAAGTGTGTGTATATGCTGAAGATTTTTAGAATTGAGCCTGCGAATTGATGGTTAGTTCACAATATTTGACTATTCCACAATAACATTTTGGCAAGATTTTTCTTATTGTTATAAGTTTAGTTACTATCATAATTATCCTTTTTGTATTTGTAACATTTTAATTCCTGTTCTCTGACCATCTTTCAAAATCATTTCTATTATCATTATTAAAGATGTGTTGGCAAACATCAAATAAGCATATTACTCGGTATTTAGATACGTATTCTTTTCACGGTCCTCAAAAAAAACTTGATGAATCTTTGTTATGGAGAAAGCAATCATGAATAACTTGCATCTGGCTTCTATACACTGAAAGTTCAAGATTCTTGTTATAAACTCTCTTATCAGTGAAATATAATTTCCTTTGTACAACTCATAATATATTTCATTTATACTTTGATTTCTTTTATATATAATAATGATAGCTGGCCACTTATAATCAAGGATACCCATCTACTAGGGCAGCTAGCCCATCCCTATTGCAGGCTCTTTCTCAGGCACATTTGTGTTTGTTCAACATCCACAGAGCCAACCTGACATTTATACTGCAACAATGCTGAGCAGACCTTAGTTACAGTTTCTGGGAGAGAGAGCATTTTATCTAGAATAATCAACAAGCTGAACAACACCGGCACACTCAAACCCTCAGTCATGATGACTTGTGGCTTTGTGCTATCACGGCTGTCGACAGCCCCCTAGTGTTCCGTCAACCCAATTTCACTCACAAGGCTTGGGTCAACCTGCGGTGCGGTTTTCAGGCAGCTTTCCAAAGGTGCCACACACTGAGATCGTCCCCACCTCCAGACTGATAACATCAGGAAGTCTCCTTCCTGACAAATCGACCATGGTGAGATTCAAACCTGAGTCACATGGTCAGAAAGCAAATGTTCTAAATACTTGGCCACATGCCCATATATCTTTTATATATCAACATGTACATACATACATACATCAATATGAATTGGAATCAGATCAGAATCTGACAGAATGATAGAATAAAGAACAAATAAGAAACATAAATTTAACATGTTTCACTTTTTTAAAGCTTCATCAGAGCATGAGTTATAGAGAATGCCATAAATTGTACTAACATTGCTTAAGAAGTTAAATGCACATGAAACCTGATTAACCAATGAAAATCAAACAACACAAAAAGAAAAATACCAGAATTTCTTTACATTATTCAGACTATTGTCCTCATCTTTGTTGCTATATTTATCATAACGTTTCGGCCATTGTACACTCCGGCCTTCTTCAGATGGTTGGAATGTCAAACTGAACCCTTTATTTCACTCGCTTGGGCTGACTGTTCTACTTCCTTCCATACCATCTAATGGATATTAGCTATCAGTTATCTCCTGTTAATTCACCTCCCCAAGTTCTCCACTGCCTTAACCAGGTATTGAACTCACAACTCTTTGGATCCTGTCATTGGATCTAACCAACACCTTTATCCACTGATTAAGGTTAATAATTCTTGGTCAAATTTTAAGTACAGGTCCCATTTGCTGAGTGTGCACTGATGAGTGAATGTGGTTTCACACTGGCACTGTACAGACATCACTAAATATATTCCCAATGATTGTGATATTTTTTAATAGCATCATAGGTTACAATGGATGATGTCTATATGACAATATTAAATTAACCGAGAATGTATTGTGTGTCTTTAGTATTATTACATATATGAAATTAAATAAAAAGTCAAAAGTGCATTAGCTTATCTCACCTGTTCTCGCTGAACCCTTGGGGACCTTCAGCAGAACCGTATGGTTCTGGAGAACTCCAGTTGAGAAACACTGATCTAATGCAATAATCCATTCTCACTATTGATTATTATATCATTACTTATTAAATGATTTTTTTTTTTTTTTTTTAAAAATCATTTTTAATGACTATTAAATGAATATAAAAGTTTCAGGCAAACATGGACCTTAATGCCCACAAAAACAATGTGTTAAAAGGACTCCCCCCCCCATGACACCGCTTTTTCTTTTCTTTAACTATTTCACTCCTTCATAAAAAAAAAAAAAGTGATGATTAGAATTTTAATAAAACCTAAACATATGAAAGTGAATTTATACATTTTATTGTTCTTGAATTTACAACAAAAATAATAAACACTATTTTTTTTATTAGATTGTTTATAGGAATGATTGGTAAAACTTGGAATCTATTGAGATTCAAACTTTATAAAATGGTAAATAATAAAGATTTCCTTATAATTGGTTCCCATATTTTAAGAATTTAGGTAATGTTTATAAATTTATGGATAAAAAATTTTTCTCATATTTATTTATTTCATAAATTGATAAATAATAAATATTGTATTGCATTAGTTTTAATACAATTTTTTTTTTTTTTTTTTTTTAGGATATTCTAAATATATTAAATTATTGTAAATAAATAATCTAATAAATAGTGATTAATAGTTATTTTGTAAATTCTCAAGAAGTAAAAATAATGTATAAATACACTTTATCATATGTTTAGGTTTTATTACAATTCTAATCACTTTTTGAAACAAACATTGCAAAATAAAAACAGTGTCATGGGAAAAAGCATCCTTTTGATACTTCTATTTTTTTTTTTTTTTTTGCAGGCACAAAGGTCCATGTTTATCAATTTTCAAATGTCTTACAATAGCTAAAATAGTAAAGCATTCTATATGCTACTCGTAAAAAGAAAAAAAAGCAATTACAAATGTTATTTAAAACAAGAATAGGTACCAGAAAATAGGGATGTTTCCTTAAACCTCTGTTTAATTTTTTATTTTCACTTAAATTTTACCCATTTTATTTATTACTTGTAATGTGGTGTTGAAGAAATTCTAACGCAATGCTATTCAAAATTATATTCATAAAACAAAATTTCTTTTCTTGTGTTTGTTGATTTTCCTAAGTAATCAAAACTGCAAGTCATATTTAATAAACAGTTTTTTCTTTTTAATAGCTATTAAAAGGTTTATGGCCATATCACATTGAAACATCCAAGTTAAACAACCTCAAGCCTGGTGAGTACTTAGATGGGTAACAGCTTGGGAATGCTAGGTGCTGTAAGCTTATTCTTGGGAAAGGTATAGATCCATTTCTCCCCCCCCCCCCAAAGCTTTGGGTTAATTAGTAAAACTTGTACCACTAAATCACTATCTTTAAAAAAAAAAAAAATTCTTATAATCTAAAAATATTTTCTAGCTTTAAATAATCTGCAAATCTGTAGAAAATAAATGAATGAATCAATGAAATACTGATTAGCTATACAGACACGTCTTTTAGATTGATTTACATTCTCTGGAATACAAATGTATAGAAACTAGTGTGATCGTAAAGTGAGGGATCAGTTTATATATTGATTGTAGTATAGAATTAATCCCCCACTTTATATTCACATAATTTCTTGTTTATCAAATTCTGATTAGGCATGAATCCACCTCTTATCCACCCAGCTATGGGTTAATTAAGTAAGACTTGTATCAGTAAAAAGTTAGGCCATAAAAAACAAACAATAGCTATGAAGATAAATCCAAGAAGTAAAAGTTTTTATTTATTCTATATTTAAAAAAACATATGTATAAAACGAAATGTCCAGATGATAATGTAATGGCATGGAGCAAGAAATT